GGGATAAAGAAGATAGAATATTCTAGAAGTAGCAGTGAGAAACAAGAAAGACTCCTAATCATCTCCAGAGCAGACATATAAGGGCTGTGTCAGATGATAACAACAGCCATTGCTTGGGAGAGCTTCAGGAGAAGCAGTGTCATCAGAGGAGACCCTCTTTGAAGGTAAAGGGAACATGAAAATAGATAGTTTGAGGTTACACAGGATTTTGCTGATGGTACACCAAGAATTCCAGAATGATAGGATCAGAATGAGGAATGTGCAGAGCCATATAGAGAAAAGACCGTAGGAGATAAGTGGTGAACTGGTCCCTGGGATCTTTTAGTGACTGGCAAACAAAGTTAATAACAAGTTGATATTAGTTCTGATAGACTCAAGGAGGATAGTTTTGTTGAGGACTTTGGTAGGGAGATAGAAAAATGTGATTCATATTTTAGCTCCATGTTAGCCATGTAGATGGATATGGAAGACCTAGGAGAGAATAGTCTTATTCCACTGTGCAGGACTTACTGGGATAAGACTCCTACTAATTTATTCATTGAAATCTGGGCTATCTTTATGTACCATGCAAAGAAGGGTAGGACTGTAGAAGCATGATCAAACTTTAGGAAAGAAGACAGTAAGTGTGTAGAGGAGAAAATACTCTTGGAAAAATAGAATCAAAGGGAAGAGTTAAATTTGCAACTGTGTGCTTTGCATATCCACCAGTAGTTTCTGTGATCTCATAACTGTTCCTACAAAAGATTTCCACTGAGTTTCACCTCAGCCCAGATGGCTGTGTTAATGAAGTGGCCCCATGATCAATCAAGAAGAAACAGCACACTCTTCGAATACACGAACACACACACACACATACACACATGCACACACTTAATAAATAGAATTTTAATATCTTTCTTCTTTATAAAAAATATATATGAAAAAGAAAGTTGTATAGTTGAAACAGTTTTGCAAGTGTAACATTGAGATAAATGTTTTGAATGATTACAGGGAGAAATACTATGCAAACAGTTTGCTATTCTATGTTTTATCTATTTTGTTGTTTTGCAAAACAGGGAGGTATATATTTGTTTATTTATTTATAGAGAGAGCACAAGTAGGGGAGAGGCAGAGGGAAAGAGAGAGAATCTTAAGCAGGCTTCATGCACAGCATGGAGCCTGATGCAGGGCTTGATCTAACGAACCATGAGACCATGACCTGAGCTGAAATCAAGAGTTGGATTCTTAACCAATGAGCCACCTCGATGCCCCAAAACAGGGCAGTATTTATAAAAACAATCTCTTTGTATAGCTCTGTGTTTTCATTTGTAATTCAAACAGTCAGATAATTATATACATGTATGTGTATATAAAAAAGATAAAGATAGACATAAATGATATATAAAATACATACACACACATTTCCTGGCATATAATGGAGTAAAATAAATGCCTTCCAAATAAAAAAAGTAATACAAAGAATATAAAGTAAGTACCATCTTAGTAAAAATAAAAACAAGGTTTAGCATATAATTCAACATCTCAGCATCTTATATGAACAGTTTGTTTAACTGCTCAACAATACCCAGGTATGGGCGGAGGGAAGAATAGAAGAGAAGAATAAAACTGTGATGTCAGTTAAGATTTTTCAGTAAAGATCAAATGAATGACAAAAAATGATATTTTGTTTAAATACACTGTTTTCATAGATACCTATCTCAGTGTGTCTCTATGTATCTGTCTATATCTATTTATAAAAAAAGAGCTTAGACCAAACTGTTCATATGAGATTTTGAATTATATGCTAAACCTTGTTTTTATTTTTACTAAGATGGTACTTTATATTCTGGCTCATTTGGTAGAGCACGTGACTCTTGATCTCGAGGTCATGAGTTTGAGTCCTATGTTTGGCACAGAGATTTCTTAAAAAAAAAAAAAAGAGCTTAGAGAATGGGAAATAATTGTCTTTATGTCAACACATTCTTTTTCATCGATCAGTCTTGAATATATGCTATAGGAATGTTGATCCACGCCACTGAATTTAATAAAGGAAAATGATAAATAAAATATTTTTTCTATTTTCATTATTTTTAACACATAACAAGGTTTTCAAAAAAAATTTTTAGTGTTTATTTTTGAGACAGAGGGAGACAGAGTGCGAGTGGGGAAGGGCAGAGAGAGAGGGAGACATGGAATCTGAAACAGGCTTCAGGCTCTGAGCTGTCAGCACAGAGCCCGACACGGGGCTCAAACCCATGAACTGTGAGATCATGACCTGAGCTGAAGTCAGACACTTAACCGACTGAGCCACCCAGGAGCCCCAAGACATAACAAGGTTTTAAAATAAATTATTCGTATTTTTTTATATCCAGGATACTCTTGTAGATATTTAAAAGCAAATGGGATGAACAGTAGTCAAATAAATTCTTCTGGGTGAGTTTAAGGATACCACAGTAGGCTATTAGTATCTGATATCAATTCTTTTGTCCACATAATCCTCTTACCCTTTTTTTGTTTAAGTTTATTTATTTTGAGAGAGACAGAGACAGCACACGTGGGGGAGGGGCTGAGAGAAAGAGACATAAAATCCCAAGCAGGCTCCACACTTTCAGCCTGGAGCCTGATGCAAAGCTTGACCTGAGTCAAAACCAAGAGCGGACAGTGATTCTCATGAGCCACCCAGGCACATGTCCCCTTACTCTTAGGTTTTTTTTTTTAAGTTTATTTATTTATTTTGAGGCAGGGAGGGGCAGAGAAAGAGGGAGAGAGAGAATCTGAAGCAAGCTCTGCACTGTTAGCACAGAGCCTGATGTGGGGCTCAAACTCACGAACCGTGAGATCATGACTTGAGCCAAAACCATGAGTCAGATGCTTAACTGACTGAGCCACCCAGGCATCCCACTCTTGAAAACATACCCCATCTTTTTGAAGTAGAAGGATAATCATGAGGGCATGACATCATGGAAATCAAACGGCGAAGTATCTTTAGGAATGTCAAATGCTACTGAAGGGATGAAGAAAATGAGGACTCAAAATTGGCCTGAATTTAACAAAATAGAAGTTACTGGTGATTGTAACAAAAGAATTTTCTGAAAGAATTTGGAGATTAATGTGTGACCGAATGAGTTCTAAGGTGAAAGGGGAGTGAGAAAATAGAGATAGTATCAATATAACAAATTTTATCAAGAGCAAATGATTTCTTCATATCTGGAAATACTGTAAAGAATCCTGCCAGCCATATGTTTAGAATTGGTATGGTTAAACTCTATTTTCAGATGAAGAAAATCAGAGTCCAGAATAAATTGGTGTTTGCTTCTTATTTCTAGTTCACATCATACACCCAAGGCAGACAATTCTTTCTTCCTCAGGTGCTACTTCAGTGCAATCATCTTTGATTCCAGTATCTAGCACCATGTGCATATCACAGTAGTTTCATAAAAAAAAAAAAAAAAAAAAAAAAAATATATATATATATATATATATATATATATATAAGCACTTTGGAAAAATAAGTTTCAGGCAGAAGCTTCAGAAGACACTTTTATAAAGGGCACTGTACAAGAAGGGGCTCAGGATGATGACAAAGTGGCCTGGGGTACAAAAAGCTAAGTATTTTTTTTCCAGTTTCTGTATGGCAGAGTTCCACCAGAGTGCCCTGAGTGTTCAAGTGCGGTGGAGACGCAGCGAAATAGAACAGTGGTGCACTGGTAACGAAACTGACTCTTGAGCTGTAATAAATAGCCAGTAGACACAGGAGTACATAACATGGGAATGAGCTTAGTATGGGAATGAGCAGGATCACCTGGAGCCATTGTTCACTTTGTGAATGCACATAAAATACTTAATGACTCCCCCAAATAATTTAATTGGGTTTTATTTTAGAAAACATGTAAGTGGGGACAAGAAATATAAAAACTTGAATCATTATTCTTGCTGTGGTTTTATTCATATCATGGCATTATGGGGATGTGTAAGAATTTGATTGTGTGTGTGTGTGTGTGTGTGTGTGTGTGTGTTCCCATCTATGTTGGTTACTTTTACCAAAGGGACTGCTATTGGTGGGAAAATAACATAATTTGTCTGCAGTTTACCTGAAAGAGTTAATAACATATTCCTCAAAAGACCCACTTAACCTGTCCTCGAGCACAAAACGTGGCTTCGTCACTAATAAAACTGAGTGAGAGAAATTCTACAAACATCTAGAGAACAATGAAACCATACAAAATAAACACAGTGGGATCATTACCAGTAAATCATTCTGGGCAAAGTTAAGAGGGTTTCTTTTGGCATCTTATAAAATTAGTGCATGAAGGGAGGACTATGGATAATAAATGTCTAAGTTTCAATAAGGTGGTTGGTACAGTGGTTCCAGTGAGTGTATAAAAATTGTCAAATCAGTTTTGATAAGAACACAATAAAATGGATTAAAAACAAACTAAGAGATCGTGAATGTGGAGAATGATAGATGAGAGTAGGACCTTTGAAGTACCGAAAAATGATTCTTGGCTCTAGTAAATGGATTTCTGACCATAAATAGAGGGCAAATAGGGTTTGAATTAGATTGGCAGATTATATCAGCTTGGAAGGTGCTGTAAAAATCAGTTTGGAGAGAGAAATGATATAACTGGTTGTAAATAAGTTAAGTCTGTGGGCAGAAAAGAACAAATGAGATTCAATTTGTAAAAGAGCAAGCAGGAAAGCTATTACCAAACAACTGTATGACACTACCATTTATTGCTAATAAAAGTGATGGCATAGCATTTTACAGTATATAGCATGCCTCGTAAATACTGATTTTTATGTGCTTATTGGGTAGCAAGCCAAGTGAGCAGACTACTTTCTGGAATAAGGTTGATTATCCAAGGGAAGTCATTGAGTCCTCCTCGGACTACGCACTAGTGTCAGTGTGTTTGGCAGATGGGCCAGCTGCGGAACTTGTTTCCATCTCCATCTGGCTCCTACTGATTCTTGGAGCCTTTTCTGCCTGTTAGGAAACAGGCAGCAAATATTTCTTAATCGTATAGCAACATGTCCTTAATGCTCTGATGTTCAATCAGGGGCTGCCTTCTAAGTTGTATCCCATTGCATATTCTGCACTTTGTCCCCTCTAATGTATTTTTGTTATTTGTCAAATATAATTTCATACAATAAGTGCACAACTTCCATCTGTCCCCTAAGGTCTAAAATAAAAAGAAAAGACAAACAGAGTTCCTCCTGTTTCTGGTTCATTGGGCCACAGGTGTTGTAGGCAAAGGACTGTTTATTGGTGAGAGATGGGACATTTCCTCCAAGTAAAACCACCTAATTTGTCTCAAAAATTAGAATTCAAATAAGAAAACAAAGTAGTATATACGCATCAAAAAGGGACACAATGAGATGTGTTGAAAGCTCAGTTGTTAGCTACTCAAGATGTGAATACATGATCATATACACAGAAAACAAATGGAAATAAACAAGGCAAGTTTCTTATTCTGCATAGTTAAAATATGGTTTATTACTCGAAAACACAGTTGCATTAGCTTCCTGATAGCCTTAGTGATTTCTTTTTAACAGCAATTAGGACTCAGTACATTTTCTTACACCTGATATGCATGTGATACAAATATCATCAAAATAATGATTATAAACTCTTCTCCTAATTACTTCTTTCCTTGTGTTTGAAAGTGCCAGTGACTTTCCGGTGTTAGAATGCCAACTGAAGCCAAAGAACAAAGTGTACCAAACTCCTTTAAAGGACAATAGATGCGTTGAAGAGTTCTATTAGAATTGTATGGTGAAGGAAAAAAGCAGGTCAGAGGTATTTAGACTGAGAAAACCAAGTCATTTCATCATAAATACATAAGAATGGTGAGCAGCCCCAAAGAAAGAACAACTTGAAGACTTGCTTCAAATGCGAGCCTATTGTTACTTATAAAAGGGTAATTATGATGATAAAATTGAGTGCATTTAAATTCGGTTTCCTAAGTAAGTGAGTACCTCACCGTCTTCAGAGCTTGTGGGATGCTCAAGCATTCACAATTACGTTTGACATTATATTAACTGGGTGAAGAGAAAACTCTTGAGGCCTCATAACTGGGCAAATCAGTATTGGCAAGGAATCTGGGTCAAGAATGCCAATGTCAGTAAAGAATAAAAAGATCAGCATTTTCAGTTAGAATATCATATTTTCTGACAAAGCTGTACTTGTCAAGAAGGAATGAGGTTAAAAATCACCCAGAGTTTGCATCTGAGTTCTCAGTAAGAGATAAGGATTATGGAGAATCATGAAGAATTAGGCATGGAGGTTGAGATTTCACACATGTGAACAGGAATTGTCATGACTCCAATAGAAAGAAAAGGATGTCTGTGATGAAGATTTGGGGTGATGGGGGGAGTGTGGGGTCCAGAGATGATGGCCAAGAAACAATTCTTGTAGATGTCTTTGGTGCAAAAAGGTGATTTTTATTAAAGCATGGGGACAGGACCCATGGGCAGGAAGAGCTGCACTGGGGTCGTGACAAGTAACTCATTCTGTACCCTTAGGTTGGGAGGGGATCAGGGATACAGTAAGTCTCTAAGGAATTTGGGAAGCAAGGTTTCCAGTGCCTTGAGGGGCTAGCTGTTGCTAGGGAAACACCATTTATTACCGTTTTATAAAACCACAGTCATGAGACCCTTCAGATGTTTATCTGGGCAGGGAGGGGCATAAGCTTGGAGTATGATTGCCAGCATATATCTTGGGGAAGCTGAGATAAAGGAAGTAGATTTACAGGATCCTCAAGGTTGGGATAACATTAAGCTAAGATTGTCTTTTGCCCCCAGCAAAATGTCATCATCTAGGCAGCTGAGCTCCTAGAGGGAGGTCATTCTGCTGGTTTCAAGGACTTGTCTATGGGCTGAAGGCAGTAAGGGAATTTAATTTTTCATCTGCCTTAGTTTCCCACATCACCATGGCAAGCACTTTAACCCCTTTCCTTTGTTTCTTGGATAGCCAGGAGTGTCCCAGGAAAATCACACATATTCCACCAGGGGGCGGTGCTGTTAGCCTGTATTTTGCCCTCAGCTTGCCCCCACACTCCCTTATCATCTGGAAGATAGAACTCTTGCCTTGACCACTCAGACACTTTATGCTGCTACCAAAAGCTCAACCCCATCTTGAAGGTTTTCCATGACCAGAGATTTCCCCTAAATAACACAGCGAATCAGTTATATTTTACATACATTTTATTTTTCTTGTTGAACTATGGACAAGTTGATGATGTTTGAAAAGAATTAGCTAATATGAGTAAAATGTAAGAGCTTTATTAAAATAAAAGGCCAAGTTTTGAATGCACTGTACTGGTAGGTCCATAGCTCTTGCTGTGAAGTATGCAAAGATGAGTAGGCTGTATCCTGCACTCTCAGGAGGTATGTAATTTAATGGTAGGCAATGACATGCAAAACTAACTCTAAATAAACAGAAGACAATTACATAGCAACAAAAATTCAGCAGCAACACAGTAAAACAATTTGTTTGGGAGATAAAAACATTTCCAAAATAATCCCAGCCCTGTATGTAGAGTCGGGACTTCTTTACAGTTGGTAAAGATATAAGGATGAAACAAGCCATCCCACCAAGGGCCGATTCCCCAACAGGAGGCTCATTTTATCTTTATCTTTTTTTTTTTAAATCATTTTTGTCCATGGGGCGCCTGGGTGGCGCAGTCGGTTAAGCGTCCGACTTCAGCCAGGTCACGATCTCGCGCTCCGTGAGTTCGAGCCCCGCGTCAGGCTCTGGGCTGATGGCTCAGAGCCTGGAGCCTGCTTCCGATTCTGTGTCTCCCTCTCTCTCTGCCCCTCCCCCGTTCATGCTCTGTCTCTCTCTGTCCCAAAAATAAATAAATGTTGAAAAAAAAATTTTAAATCATTTTTGTCCAGCTTTACTTTCACTTTGATAGTCTGAGCTAAAATGGCAAGACAGCATTCTTTGAAGGATGAATCAAGAACATATTCCTAATTTCTCTTGTTTTTGTCGTTGTTGTATCATGTTCGCAATGCTGTTCGTTGCCATCCAGAACAGAAGGCTCGCTCACCGTTCACAATGAACATGTATTACAGTGAGAGGGAATTTGCCATTGCTAAGATTATATGACACAACTTTAATTTTCTATCTCAGGCCTGGATGATGTTACTGAGCCTTGATTTCTAAGAGAAGCCAGCCTTTTGTTTTGTGGGGTTTTGTTTTGTCTGGTGGGTCCATTCTACTTCTTCTTTTTTGGAACCCCCTTACCCTATCAATTTCCTTGAGATCTAATTTGGCTGAAGTTATGGACAATCCTATAGTTTACTTTTATTAAGTCATTTATCATTTCCTTTTATTATTGATGGCATGAAAATTCCTTCTTCATTCTACATAAATGAACTAAGTGCCTTTTACACACCAGTGTTCTTTAGATGGGAAATACAGTGGTGAATGAAACCAGCCAAGTTGTTGCCTTTCAGAATTCACAGTTTAAGGCAGGGGACAGACAATAGTCCTGGATACAAAAAAATTATTAGAAGAATAAAATTCCAGGTGGTAGTGAGTTGTGTGAATGTTAACGTGTCAGAGTAAGGTTGTGGAGAAGGGCAACATTACTACTTCTGGTAAGATGCTCTGGAAAGGCTGCTTGAAGGAGACCAATTGAGGCTGGAATGAAGTGAGTGATGTAGCCCTGTGAGCTTCTGGAGGGAAAGGGTTCTCAGGAGAGCAAATGAAAGGCCCTCTTAGGATGAAGTCTTTGGTGTGACCAAGAGGCAGCAAGTGACCAGGTAGCTAAATTGCAGTGAACGAAGCAGAAAGAATAGGGGTGAGGGCAGAGAGGTAGTCAAGGACCAACTCTGATTAAGTCTTTTTTTTTTTCCTAAGCTAAAACTATCATTTTCATTAATATGTCTGTGGTCCCATGGTCATATCCCCCTTTACCTGCTTTCTCAGGCCTTGACCCAGCGTTGACTTTGTCCTCTCTTCTCTAGATTTTCCTGTAAAGATACTTCTACTCATGTCCCTGCTTCCAACATACATAAGTGTGATTTGTTGTGCTCGTGAAATAATTAGGAATATATTTATATTTGTCAAGACATTTCACATATGGCTTATTTATAAGGTTCACCTTTGTAGCAGTGAATTGCTTAAGGTAAAGACATAGAAGGGTGTTAGTAATAATTTGAGGGTTGGTGCAGAGGACAACCAATATTTGTAACAACAAATGCCAAATTCAAAAAGAATATTTCATTATTAGGGTCTTAATGTAAAGAAGGTGGTAGGGAACCTCCACTTCAGGCTGAGTAGGGCAAGAACTACCCCCTCCCCCCTCCAGTCTATTTCCCTGCAGCTATGACCAATGATTATCACTCACCCATCAGATCCAACTCAGTGAAGGGGCAAAAACATTGATGTAGCTGCTTTGAAACGCAGCAGATTCAAAAATCACATCCATAGCATGGTTTTTGAGGATCCTCTGTCTTTTCCAGTCAGCAACCCCTCAGGTATGATAAGTAGCTCTAATATAATTTATCCTTTAAACCAAGAACCAGAAGAAAAAAAGTTACTTCTAATCCCCCTATCTCACTTTATCTGTTTTACAGTTGCTGTTCTCTAGGTGAATAGAAAGGGTAGGGAAGGAATCAAAGAAAAAGGAAAAAAAATTAAAACTTCAAGAAACCTACCCATTGTCTTTTTTTTGTTTTATTTTTTTTTGTCCATAAATAATCTCTGGGCAAAATTATATGTTATAAGGAAATGCATTCCAAAACTTAATTAGGGTTTTTAAAATTCAAGCCCAACATATTATTTTACTTAATTTATATGGGGAATAGGAAGTTCTAATTCAAAGGAAACAATTCAGTTTGTAGCCTGTTCTCCAGAAGAGGGAGGCCAAGCCACATTTACCCTCAAGTTTAACCAATGCTCATATTAATCTTAATGTTTTCCATTCTGGCTCTGGATGTGCACCTGAGAATTGTCCTTCATGGAACACTTTTACATGGGGCCTGGTATCCAGAATGGTCTCATCCTGGGGTTCTTAGGAGTAGAATGTGTACGCAGAAATGGTTTAAGTAAGCAGAAAGATCTAAACTTTAACCTTGGTTTTTTTTTGAACTCCCTGAAAGGTCACTAAGTTCTACTTACACTGGCCTGCCTTTTTATCTTGGTCTCAACAAAGCATTGTCCAATCTCAAGGACATCTGTGTGGATCCCATTTTCTAAGCTATTCCAATGATTAGCTCAGTTAAATATTACCTACTCTGGGAAGCCTTATGGTATCAACATAAATAAATAACATCCTCCATTCCAATTCTTTCTACCACGTTATTGTACTACCCAATTATATTTATTACACAGGATTCAAAGATTATACACAGATAATTCAAAATTATCTACTTTATTTACTAGTTTCCTGGTTTTGTCTGTTCTGATCCACTAGAATACAGGCACCATGATTCTAGCTATGTTATTTTCTTGTTAATCTAGAACAGTGCCTGTCACACGTGCTGTTTAATAACAATTTTCATACTTTCATTGTAGGAAAATAGAAAAATTACAGAAAAGTTACAAGAAAAGAACAAAGAGTGCTCATATACCATTAAACCAGATTCATCAGTTGTTACCATTTTTCCACATTTGTTTTATAACTTTTCCTAAATATTTATGTCTCTGTCTACATGTATGTATTTTCTAAGAATATTATAATACCTATCAGTATAGGAAGTGAAGTCAAGAGATTTATTATTTTCACAGTATTATTAATTAATCCAATGTCCATATTCATATTTCACTATTGTACCAAAATATTCTCTTAGCATGCCTTTTTTTCTGATGTAGGATCCAATCCACAATCATGCATCACATTTAGTTGTCATATGTTTTGGGTATCCTTCAATCTGGAATAGTTTCTCAGCTTTTTTTCTCTTACATGACCATGAAATTTTTTAGGAGTAATTTTATTTAGGAGCATAATTATTTTGTTGAATGTCAATAATTATTTTTTGGAATTTGAATACACGAATACTAACTAACTGCCATTTAGAATTGTCTTGTCCCTATCTAAAGACACATAAGAATTGGAAACATATATATAAAATTTTCAAAACTTCACTCAGTCCATTCCAAGATCTAAGAATAAAATGGGGAGGGGACTAAGCCAGTCTTTGGGAGAGTCCCAATTTCCAATCTTCCAAAGTTTTCAATTTTCATAACTAAATAAATAATTGCAACAGACTTCTGAAATTTTTTATTAAGCTAGTTAAGAATATACCATGAAAATTTAAATAAGCTATTAGAATATATTTTATGTGGACCTCCTTTAAGGAACATACATCAGTAATTACACCAATCTTGTTTAAAATCAAGACTTAACCAGCTTTCTTTTCCAATTCCAGGTTCCAGAATTATCCTTTATTGATTATAAAAATAAAGGAAATATTGTTTGACTCAGGTTTATTTTCAACCAGGTTTTCAGGATAGAGGTTGCCATGGGCCAGCACATCACTCTCCAAAGGAGAGAATCCAAATATGGTGTGCCAACAAAATCACTTAACAATCTCAGATTTTAATACTTTTGAAACTCCAGTACAAGTATATCATGCCCTGGCCATTATTACCTACTTGTCTTCTGTGAAGAAATGGGCAGAATGCTCAGTTTAAATAAATTCGTTCCAACACCTGGGAGCTAGGAATTCTCCCTTTCACCACGAAATTTCATCACCAAAAGGTCCTAAAACACCTTGTATCTCCATGTAGTTTTTCCTTTATCTGATAGGAAAACCTGCCTCATCTTTTTAGTCAAGTCAGTAGTTTCCCAGTGCTGGAGATTTATTGGAGTAGCTGAGGAACTTGGAATAGCTAGCAATTCTTGAGCGCCACCACTAGCGATTCTGATGGAATTGTTCTGGAGCGAATTCTTAATAGTTGGTGTTGTCTAACAGAACTCCAGGTACTTCTAAACTGTAACCAGAGTTGAAGATCGCTGATCTGAACCAAGGAAATTCCCATTACCCAGTGATATCAGTCAAGTAGAATGTTGAAATACTTTCCAGTCGGATAGCCCTGCTTCTTATATAATATGCTCATCTTATCCTTTCCCCTGGTTACAAACCAATGTGTGTGGCTAATATGAATCATACCTTTTAATTCCAATTAGGTGCCATGGATTAAGACTCTTGACTAGAATAAACTGGACCATTGTGTTGCATGAATATGTGATCAAGAAACCAGAAACCATGCTAACTTTGTCAACATCAATTACATTGTTAGAATTGATTATACCTCTTATATCCCTTCTTTACGTTAAATCTTTGATCATTTGCTTGATTTCTTCTTTAGAATTGTCATAGTTTTTCATTGCAATGATGACTCATTTAGGTAAGAGATTTTCAGCTGTATAGAAATCAAAAGCATTTGATTTATCACCAGTGAAAGAACATGACAGATTATAAAACTTTGCAAGAGACCATTATGTAGTTAAAGGATTTATATATCCTTTTTTATTTGGTCTCTACAAATATGGGTATTATGATGCAAATAGTTAAAAACAAAATAAAACACAACAATGTCCTTGTCGTCTGAACCCTTTCCCTGTAATTTAATCTGTGTTTTGAAAACTACCCATTTCTGAGCTCATCAATGGTTCTTGAATATCGGGTGCACCCTATTTAATCAATAACTAAGCCTTCATTAGGTTGAATGAGCTGTTGATATGTACTTTAACATATTCAAAGTCTGTTCCTCAGTATAGATACTAATTGGATCTTTATTGAATGAAAAGGTCAAGTCGGACTTTCCCTTGGCAATGCTGCTAGCTCCCTCAGATTCGCATTAACAAAACCATGTTATTGCTGCACAAAGAATGCTTATAGAAGAAAAAAAAGAGTATTGACTTCACTGTATGTATTATATTCCCTGAAAATATTTAGAAATGGGCGTTCGTTACAGAAGCAAGGAACTTGACAGCTTATTGATTATGCAAATGTTCCCTGCACTTACTTAAAATGAACTAATTAGTGCAAGGGTTGGCAAACTCTTAAACGGCCAGGTAGTTACAGTTTTAGGCTTTGCTGGCCACATGGTCTGTCACAACTATTTAACTCTGCTGTTGTAATGCAAAAGTAGCCATAGATAATATGTAAAGAAATGGATGTGGCTCTGTTACAATAAAAGTTTGTTTACAGAAACAGATGGTGGGGCGGTGGGTTATAGTTTGCTCACCCCTGGATTAGTGGGGTAAACTATGTCCCATACATATAATACACATATGCATACACATACATGTGTTTTGTTTGCAAAATGGAATTGTCTCTTTTAGCAAATTTAGCACTGTAAAGTAAACCTGCAAGAGGTGCGGGTGAATTTTGTATATATTTGAAGTTGCCACGTCTTTTATTTTTAATCAGCTTGTCAGATTGTAAGACAAAATAGTGAAACTCTCTATCTGAGTCTACTTTACTTAAGTAAACTTCCCTGAAGGTATTTGGTATAGCGTTTCCTGAAGAAAATCAGTTGAAAAATTTAGCTATTTATTAACTCTGGACACTTTTAAGTAAGTAAATAAATAAATACTCTCCTATTTGGTTGTTTGGCTAGAAATTTGCACGTAAGATACTTCAAGCTCTCCTGACAAAGACACAGATTTCATTACCTCAGCGAAGGCACACACAGGTCATATTTCAAAAGACATTCTAGTTGTTTTCTGTGGGTGGAACAGAACTCTATCATCAAATCTAAGTGCACTTAATTTGGGAAGAGGGGCAGGTGGTTAAAGGTTTGGTATCAAAGAAATAGATAGTGAATTGAAGAGGAAGAATGTTCCTAAAGTGGTCTAAACAGATGGGCTCTAAAATCAGTCTCATCTTTCAAAATATTGCTGCCTCAGGGTCTTGTGGTAATTTTTCTTCGTGATATGCCCTGATACCTGATCATAGGAATACACACATGAAAAGGAAAAAAAAAAGCAGTGTTACCCTTCTGGTCTATTTCAGCTGCCTACAGTGACCTCCTTTATAGTCATCTGTTAACTTTTCCCTCTTGCATTTTGGAACTTGTACATGTCCAGAAATGACAGTTACAATAAGAGTGGCCCACATATCCTCTGAGATTGAGACAGGGACATTCCCTATAACACTCAAATCTAGTATTACAAAAGAGAAACACAACTAACCAGTGAGACTTTCACTGCTGTCTGGCTCACAGAAGCAGAGCAGCTTCTCATTCACTACCTAAGTATTGTAGAGAGGGTGCTGCAGTGCATGTGCCTAAAACAGAGAGTAGCTGGGCTTACACTTTTTATGTGTATTTGGCTGTATAGTCCACAGGAGTCTGGTATCAACTTCTGAGACATGGCTACACACTTTAACTGAATCATGTGTATCTTTAAAAGGAAACATATTAAAAGAAAAAGCTTCTGCCCTGCAAAGGAAGCAATCCACAAAACTAAGAGGCAACGTGTGGAATGGGAGAAAATATTTGCAAATGACACATCCAATAAAGGATTAGTATCTGAAATATATAAAGAATTTATAAAACAACACCCCAAAAGCAAAGAATCCAATTTAAAAATGGGCAGAAGACATGAACAGATATTTCTCCGAAGAAGACATACGGATGGTCAACAGACACTCATCATCACTCATCATCAGGGAAATGCAAATCAAAACCACAATGAGATACCTCCTCACACCTGTCAGAATGGCTAAAGTCAGTAACACAAGAAACAACAGATGTTGGCGAGGACGTGGAAGAAAAGGAACCCTCTTGCATTGTTGGTGGGAATGCAAACTGGTGCAGTCACTGTGGAAGACAGTATGGAGTTTCCTCAAAAAGTTAAAAATAGAACCACCTTATGATCTAGTGATCTCACTACTGGGTATTTATCCAAACAATGTGAGAGTACTAATTCAAAGGAATACATGCACCCCTATGCTTAGAGCAGCATTATTTACAACAGCCAAGATACGGAAGTAGCCCAAGTGTCCATCAGTTGATGAATGGATAAAGAAATGGTATATGTGTGTGTGTATGTATATGTATATATACAATATGGAATATTATTCGGCCATAAAAAGGATGAAATCTTGCCATCTGCAACAATATGGATGGAACTAGAGAGTATAATGTTAAGCAAAATAAGTCAAACAGAGAGAGACACATACCCTATGTTTTCACTCATATGTGGAATTTAAGAAACAAAACAAATAAGCAAAGGGAAAAAAATAAGAGAGCAAGAGACAAATCAAGAAACAGACTCTTCATTCTAGAGAACAAACTGATCATTACCAGAGGGAAGATGAATGAGGGGATGGGTGAAAAGGTGATGGGGATTAAGGAGCTCACTTGTGATGAACACCAGGTGCTCTACGGAAGTGTTGAATCACTGTATTGTACACCTGAAAGTAATATTACACTTAACTGGAATTAAAATCAAAACTTAAAAAAAAAAAAGTAAACATATTATTCTTTTTTTGGTTTTTTTTGTTGAAGTGTAGTTGAGTTACAATATTATATTAGTTTCAGGTGTACATCACAGTAATTTGACAACTATATACATTACAAAAAGCTCACCATAGTAAGTGTAGTTACCATTTGTCACCATACAAAGTTATTGCAGTATTATTGACTACATTCCCTATGCTGTACTTTTCCTCCTTTTGACTTATTTATTTTATAATTAGAAGTTTGTACCTCTTTATCCTCTTCACACACTTCCCCATCCCTCCCCGATTCTTCTCCCCTTGGGCAACCACCTATCTCTTCTCTGTATTTGTAAACATATTATCCTTGATGCTTTTCTAAGACTGTTGACATGTATCTTATACAGCAACTACATGTAGAGATTTCATTTCTATGACTATGAATGCAAATAGTAATGTATCTGTTATTTAATAGTTTCCACATGTGAAAAAATACTACTGATGAAAATATAGATCAATGATCTTGGGAAAATTAATCTAACTGCACATTTGCCAGAAGTTTGCAAATGATTTGTTTGTGTGGATTCTTTGTTATGTTTTATGGTAATTTTGAAAATTGGCTCCGTAGAATAAAGTAAAAAGCAATTTTATTAGCTTTTATAAAAAGCTTTTAAATGATTTCACTAAACATTTAAAAATAAAAATAAATAACATCTGAGACATATCACTGAGATTATCTTACAAGTCTCTGGGGCGTACTTATGATTTATTTGCTATTTTGGAAAGCTTTTAACCAACCCCCCCCCAAAAAAACCTGTGTATTTTGTATTCCAAATAATTCCATAATGTATTCATTTGTTTCACAAACAAGCAAAGGCTATTTCCAAAACCAGTATTTATTTGAAACCTTAGGAAATTTGACCTAAACAGAGTTTAGGTACCTCCTAAATACCCTAAACCCTAATAATAGGGTAACTCCTATTATTCTACTAGTGTTCGCTACCTGTGAAGCAGCTCTAGGCTTATCCCTCCTAGTGAGTATCCAACACATACGGAACGGACTATGCACAAAAGCTAAATCCCCTACAGTGCTAAAAATTATTATTCCAACTATAATACTAATTCCATTGACATGGCTATCAAAACCCAATATAATCTGAATTAAGAGCCCACAGCCTACTAATTAGTCTCGTCAGCCTTACCTACCTTAACCAACAAAACGACAACAATCTCAACTTCTCACTACTGCTCTTCTCAGACCCGCTCTCTGCACCCCTCCTGGCATTAACAGCATGACTAACACTAATACTTATAGCCAGCCAATGACACTTATCAAAAGAAACCCTTGCCCAAAAAAAACTATACATCACAATACTCACCCTTTTGCAACTATTCCTAATTATAACCTTCACCGCCATCGAACTAATTTTGCTCTATATTTTATTTGAAGCTACACTAGTTCCCACCATGATTGTTATCACCCGGTGAGGTAATCAAACAGAACAAATGAATGCAGGCCTTTACTTTCCATTCTACACCCTAGTAGGTTCATTATCTCTCCTAGTCACATTACTGTATATCCAAAACACATCAAGCTCCCTAAATATTCTAATCATACAATACTGAACTGAACCAATCTCAACCACTTGATCTAATATTTTCCTTTGACTAGCATGTATAATAGCATTCATACTAAAAATACCCCTATATAGACTATGTCTCTAATTACCCAAAGCACATGTGGAGGCCTGTATTGCTGGGTCAATAGTACTTGCCACTGTGCTCCTGAAACTAGGTGGGTATGGAATAATACCTATTACAATAGTACTTAATCCACTAACAGACCAAATAGCATACCCTTTCCTAATATTCCCTATGAGGAATAATGATAACAAGCTCTGTTTGCCTACACCAAACAGATCTAAAATCCCTAATCGCATACTCATCCATAAGCCATATAGCCCTAGTTATTGTAGCAATTCTTATCCAAACACCATGAAGCTATATTATTAGTACATATATATATATATATATATATATATAGTTTTTGGTGAATACTGATTATTACAACTTCCATGTATTTAATGCCTACACTATGCCAGGCATATTTAAAATATTGTTAATACTCAAAATAATAAAAATGAAAACCAGCGATTATCCCCATTCTAAAGAGGATGAAATTGAGGCTTGGAGGGAAACTCCTCCAAGTTCACGGGGTGGTAAATGGCACTGGCAAAAAAAAAAAAAAAGGCAAGATCTTTTTTCTCTAACTATAAATTATACCTTTCCTTTTGGTAAAAACATCATTTGCAGCATATGGAATATTTTGTGAGGTGGTGGGGAGGGAATGACCCATGTAAAGGGGTTTTTCTAATACCTAGAGCTTGTGAAACTTGTTAGTGTTGTGTAATCAATTATTTTTCTAGGTTAATTCCTTGAATCACATTTTCTAATAGGAAGTATCTATCATTTGAATGAAAAGATTACCAGATGCCTTCATCTGGGTTTCCTGGAAGGGCCTCTCCTGTCTATAGAGCTGCACGTTTCGGTACAGTAATTTTTATATTTCCACGTTCTTAATGATATGTAGGCTTCTGCTAGTAACCGAAGTGGCGGTCTGTCACCCTGCTGCTTCTGCTCACTGTCTGCCTGACAGCTACGATAGAAAAGAGCTATCGGCTCTGCCACTCTTGCTCCCAGGAGTCCACAGCCCTGCCACCTAATCTGCATGTTGTGCTTCAGTAACTCCTTAAGATGTTCTTCTGCCCACTCAGCTTATGTTCCCTAACCACACGGCAGCTGCTCCGGAAGCCGGCTCTCATCAGTCCTCCACAGAGTGCTCTCAACAGAGTTGCTCTGCAGCAAATGTGGATTTAGGAATGGCAGGCTCCACCTTCCTGATGCTTCGGCCATCACACCATTCACAGATAAATATGAGTTACTGACCACACTTACAGAATTATTCACAAACCCATCCATGCTCCATATTAGCCCGCCTGAATTGCTGATGCCAACAGAAGACACTAGTGGAGACTCAGGGTAGAGCAACCCTATACTGGAATGTTTGAGAAGGAGCTATGTGCCCAGCTTATTTTGTGAGGGTGCAGGAAATCCCAGGTTCATTGGAACTCCGTTTGTTTCAGTGTTATTTTAAAAACGTCTTTGTCCTCCTAGTCACACTTTAGTGATTCTCCAAATATTTGTTCTGAAAAATAATTCTCTCGCTCTCATCATAATTTGCTTTGGAACTCAGAGATCTTTATCCTACTCTTGTTTCTGTGATGGTTAGTTGCAAAAAAAGTAAACTAATGTTGTCATCCTAACGGGGTATTTTCTTTTAGATTTTTTTTTATTCATTTCGGGTTTCTAGCAGCGTGCCTACAAAGCTAAAACTCCCCAATTTATATTTTGTAAATTTGTATGCTCTGTGAATGAGTACATGCATGAACCTGTACATTGTGGAATGTGGAATATACACCATATTCACATTTGTGTTTGAAAACCTGGTTTTTGAATTACACTACTTTGAGATCAGTTCAGTATATCAGAATGAATGACAAAATATACCAGTGTCAGAAACTGGCCAGAGTGGGACATAGATACTTCTCAAATTTGTTTTTTTGTGTGACTAAAATATATTTGCAGGATTACTTTTTTTTTTGTTTATTTATTTCTTTTGAGAGGGACAGAGAGTGCGTATGAGCAGGGGGAGGGACAGAGAGAGAGAGGGAGAGAGAGATTCCCAAGCAACCTCCACACTGTCAGTGTGGACACCAACACGCAGCTCGATCTCATGAACCGTGAGATCATGACCTGAGCCAAAATCAACAGTTGGACACTTAATAACTGACTTCTTTGCTTTCCGTCTTTAAACTTGGGAACATTCTGGGGTTCAGTCCCTTCGCTTGTCTTCTTTGTATGTATCGGCTCTGTTCGTGAGCTCATCTAGCTTTAAATCCAGTCTCTGTAACAATTACTCTATATTTTTTGCTACAGCCCTGAATTCTTCCCTGAACTCCAATTGTGCAGCTGACATGACTTGGCTATATAATAGGATTTCAATCTTTTTTTTTTAAGGATTTCAATGTTAACATGTCTAAAACCAAACTTTTGATTTATCACTGACTGAAACTAATCTATATTATTTGCCATCTGAATAAATGACATCTCCATTTTACCAGTTGTTTTAGAGCAAGAAACTTGGAATGATTTTGTTAGTCCCCGATCCCTCACATTTCACATCAAATCCAGAAGTAAATCCCGTTGACACTAATTTTCATATATATCCACATTTTGACCAGATATTCTTTTCACTGAACAAAGCCACTATCATCCCTTCCTTTAACTGTAATTAGAGCCTCCTGGTTAGTCTACCTGCTTCCATTGTTTTTAAAAGAGTTTTATCCAGTTATATTTTACATATGAAATTCACAAAATTTCAAGTGTACAACTCAATGATTTTAGTGACTTTCCTGAGTAGTACAACCATCATAATACAACAGTTTTGAAGCATTTTCATCCTCTTAGTGAAGTCTCTCATGCCCATTCCCACCCTTAACTGTAGCAACCACTAGGCTACTTTCTGTCCATGATCATTTCACATAAATAGAACGATGCAATATGTAGTCTCATATCTGGCTTTTTTCATGTAGCATAGTATTTTTGAGGATCATCCCTGACATAGCACGTATCCATATTTTTTTTTCCTTTCTCTTGCTGTAGAGAATTTCATTGTATGGAAGCACATTCTGTCTATCTATTTATAAGTTGATGAACACTTAGGTAGTTTCCAGTTTGGGGCTATTATGAATAATTCTCTTCTGAACTTTGATATGCATGTCTTTGTGTGTAGGTGTGTTTTCATTCCTTTTGAGTATCCAGGAGTAGAATTGCTGGCTTATATGGTACCTGTATGTTTAACATCTTGAGAAGCTGCAAAACTGTTCTCTAAAGTGGCTGTATCATATCGTATTTCCACCAGCAACGTATGAGGGTGACTACTCATCTACATCCTTTCTTATTTATACTAGCCATTCTAGTGCATGTAAAAAGGTATCAGTGACTAATGATGTTAAGCACCTTTTCACGTGCTTATTGGTCATTCATATATCTCCTTTGATGAAATGTCCATATCTTTTGGTCATTTTCTGACTGAGTCTTTTGTCTTATTATTGAGGCATCAAGGTTTTAAAAAAATAAATTCTGGACACAATTCTCATATTGAATATGTGTTTGCAAATATTTTCTTACAGTTTGTTGTTTGTCTTTTCCTTTCTTAATGGTATCTTTTGAAGTGCAAAACTTTCGAACTTTGATAAGTTCCAATTGATCAATTTTTTCTTTCATGGACAATATTTTAGTGTTATATTTAAGAAATTGTTGCTTAGGGGGTGAAGGGGATGGGCAAAATGAGTGAAGGGGAGTAGGAGTTACATGCTTCCACTTATGGAATGAGTAAGTCATGGGGATGAAAGGTACAACACTGAGGGGTGCCTGGGTGGCTCATTCGGTTGAGCATCCAACTTCAGCTCAGGTCATGATTTGACAATTCGTGAGTTTGAGCCCCACATTGGGCTCTCTGCTATTAGCGCAGAACACACTCCAGATCCTCTGCCACCCCTGCACCTCCCCCACTCTCTCTGTAAAAAAAAAAATAAAATAAATTTTTTTTAAAAAAAGGTACAGCATAGAGAATATAGTCAATGGTATTACCATAGTGTTGTATGGTGACAGATGGTAGCTATACTTGTGGTGAGCACAGTATGATGTATAGATTTGTCAAATCACTATGTTGTACACCTGAAACTAACATAACATTATGTGTCAACTATACTTCTATTGAAACTGTTCATGAAATATTATGCAGCCATTAAAAAGAATGAATTATATAGCAAAACCAGTGGATTTAGTTAGGATTTTTATGAAGTATTATTGAGTGAGAAAATCGAGCTGCAGAAGTGTGTGACACTGCATTTCTTTTAAAAATACCAGAAAACAAAGGAAAAAGTATGACATTTTTATAGATACATATAAAAGAAACCTTGACTTAGTATGAGGTCTCAAAGGTCTTCTATGTTCCTTTTGAAGGTCTTTTTTAGGGGCACCTGGGTGGCTCAGCGGCTGAGTGACCACCTCTTGATTTCAGCTTCAGCTTAGGTCATGATCCCAAGATGGTGAAGTTGAACTCCACATCCAGCTACGTGCTGAGCATGGAGCCTGCTTAAGTTCCTTTCTCTCTCCCTCTCAAAAAATTAAATAAATAAAATAGAAAGGTTTTTTTTATTTAGTTCTTATATTTAAGTTTATGATCCAATTTGAATTGATGTTTGTGTATGATGTGAGGTTCCCTGCTCCCTCTTTATTCACCTGTATTCTGATACCTGGCGACTGACACCAGGAAGAACAGTCATTTAAAATTTCCATTCGGACCATATGACTCCTTCTGTTAAGGCACTCTAATGCCTTC